GGGGGGACGCATCCAAAAATTCGGGTGCTCTGAAATAACTATTGCCATGTGTTCCTCAAGATTGTCTGTTCGTTTGCTGATCTTGTCTCCTTCTCTCACTTATATTTCGCATCTCGAGGCCGCCACCACCTGCTCTTTCGCGTAACTCCCGTGCCGCACGCACAGCAACAACACGTAGCACCACCGTTAAGTCCTGCACGCCAAGAACAAACTCAAACTCAGCTAGGCGCTCTGCTCTTTGTAAAGCTCTTATTTCCGCCCTTCAGTACGTGGTACCTGCGTTGCTGCGAACAAGGCTGAGAACGATGGCTTCTTTCTCTCCTCCCTGGAAGCCGTCGACCGACCGCACCTCCACCCCGGGGTGTTCCGGGCGCAGCAGCCGTTTCAACAGGTTCACCTTTTCTCCACCACCACCCCCGCAGGCAGCAGCAGCAGCAGCAGCAGCAGCAGCGGTGGCGGAGACGCGAGCGTAGACGACGGACGAGAGACCACAGAGGGAGACAGAGAGGGGGAGGGGGAAACAGACAGACAGACAGACAGACAGACAGATAAGAGAGAGAGAGAGAGGGGGGGGGGGGGGAGAGAGACAGATAGACAGAGAGACACAAGAGAATGAGGAAGAGAGGGAGGGGAGACCACGCTTGAGAGAGGTAAACTAGCCATATGCACGAGAACAACAACAATACGCAAGACCAAAGATGGGAAAGAGTTGAGAGAAACGGACTACACCAAGGTGTGCAAATATTGGTACAAAGGGAAAAAAAAGCAGGAGAGAAATGACAAAAGACAACAGCAAGAGAACTAGTCGAGCAAGCACCGGTGGACAGACAGGCGGACATCTCGTAATTGTATGATGCTAGGTACAGTAGAAAACGGACCCTTTGAATAAATACAACAACCACATCCATCCGCTGCGAAACAATGTCGTCCCTAAAAAACAAACTAAAACGAAATAACAAATAAAAAATTACTTACCTGGCCGTTGTACGGAGATATTACCGCCACCTCGCTCTCCCGAACCCCCGCGTTTAGCAGGCCTCTGTGAGCATCACGCACAACGATGTGCCGCCACGCCACACACGCACCGAAAAGGAAAACGAAGTCACAAAAGAGTACGGGGGGCATGAAAGGGCGCGGAGAAGAGGTAGCACAACAAAAATGATACACCGGGAAGAGTGAAAAAAACGGTGGACTTCGACCCGCCGCCGCCGCCGCCGCCGCCGCCCTACGCTGCTGTGATCATTTCATGTTGTCACGTTCAGCATGGGATTCTGATCTCTTGTGTATGTCAAGTACCTCCTCCTCTTTCCGATGTTTAGAGGCAGAGAAACGACTTTTCTTCTCGCGTGGTGATGGCCAAGCGCTAAGCCCGACAGCACGGTCGAAACAAATCAAATCCCCCTAACAGAGGCTCAGATCAAGTCCCGACACCCCTGAAGAAATGAAATGAGGTCCCAAAGACAAACAAAACAGAAAAAACCAAGAGCGGAAAATACATGCTTCATAAACTAATTGCGCCGAGGAGCACTGCCGACAGAACAGGCAAACCTCCTTCCGGACAGAACCGACCTGGCTGGATCCCTCATATTCGCAGACTCGCATACGTACGCATATACTTCCGTAGCGCCTTACGAAAAACCTTGTTTGTGAACAAGACGACTACATGTGGACGACTACACGTAGAACATCCGATAGGGCAGTCAAATGGCTCTGAACACAAGCGCTGGGGAGGAGGGTGCGTGTGTGTGTGGATAAGAGCAAGTCTATCGCGAAATGAGCATGGCCTGACGCATGGCAATACACACGCAAGCAGGCCATCGCCTTTAGAAACGGGTTCCGTTTGTGGCCGCACTGAGACTGACGACTGGTCATTGCTCAGCAGGTTAGCGCGGTCGCAAGACACATACGCCACACACACACACACACACACACACACACACACACACAGGCCCCGCTGAGACGGACGGCTTCTGAACCTTCGGCCGATTCAACACGGTAGATTCCAAGTCAGACTAAACACACGAACACGCGGACGCGGCGCGCGCACACACGCGCGACGAGAAGGAACGAGAAGGAACGAGAACGAACGAGAACGAACGAGAACGAACGAGAACGAACCGAAACCCCACTCACTTTACATGCCGCACGGCCACCTCCGCCTCCCGCTCGTTCCTCCGGCTGCCGCCCCCGGCGTCCTCCTCGGGCATGTCGCACCCCGTCGTGTCGACCAGCAGCATCACGGCCGCCCACATCTCCGCGCCCTCCTCCTCCTCCTTCGTCGACGACGACGACGACGCCGCCGCCGCCGACGTGTGCGGTAGGTCCGGGAGCTCCCTCTCAGCCACGGAAGGGTGGGCGAGGAGTAGCCCGCCGTACATCTTTTTTATTTTTTTGATACGCCACCACCACGACGATAACGGAAAAAAAAAAAAAAAGGCGCGGGGAAAAAGCAAGGAGATTTTGAGGCCGGCGGGCACAGCCGTCATCAGAGAGATCGCCGATCTCGTGGCGACGTGACGTAAGCTTGTGGTTTGTGGTGAGAGGTGGTGATGCTGGCCTACGCAGCCCGGGTTTCTCCTGCTTTCCCCGGTTGCAGACGAGGCAAGCCCGAAACAAGAAGTGCTCTATCGGTGAACAGATCTGCCAAAAAACACTGTTAGAATAAAAAATAACCTAGCGGTTCGGGTTGGGTGTTCAACCCTCCGCTCGCTCTTCCTTCCCAACCCCATCGACTGACTAATGAGGATTAAACCCCCGAATTCCACACGCACGCACACAGTACGACTCCCCCACCTCGCCGGACGCCCAGTCGCAGATGTCCCGGTTCATCCGGTACTGCACGTTGAGCATGCGGCAGACGCCGTGCCCGAGGTCCCTCAACACCCTGTCGAACATCGTCAGCCCGAGACCATCACCCCCCCCGCCCCCACCGGTCCCAACACCAACACCACCACCATCTTTGCTGTTTCCACCGTGTGCGCCCGGTGACCGCGCCGGCGCGTGCGGCGGCGGAACCGATACCGCTTCGGACGGCAACAGACAACCGGCCTCCGCCTTCCGGCTCTTGACCGTCGGGGCCAGCTGCTTGTGGTCCCCGGCGAGGACAAGCCTCCTCCCTTTGAGGATGGGGATCCAGCACGCCGCCTCTAGGGCCTAAGGGCCACCCCCGCCCCCGAAAGCGGGAGAGGCAGAGCAGCCCACCGACCGTGACGACCACCGGTGGCAGCAAGCAGTATGCACGCACACACAAACAAATAGAGAGGGTGAAGTGAGCAAGCAGAACCTTTCACGTCAGGGCATGGTGTTCGGCCCGCAGGAGTAAGCGAAGCGGTTCTCGCAGCTAAGCTTGGGTGGTGTGGTGCGTACGACCTCTGCGTGAAAACAAAAAACCTGCACCACGAAAGAGTACATATATGTACATCCGCAAGAAGCACAAAAGGGTTGTATATGCATAGTAGTACATTTGGTCGCACAAAACCACCGAGCTCAAGCTGCTGCAGGGTAGTCGCCAACGCACGCGGGGATAAAGATAAGTTCAGTGGGAGAAAAATAAAATGCCACCGTGCAGCGTGCGTGATGAAGGCGAGAACGGAATAAACCAATAGATAATATTTGATGCATAGTAGATCTAATATACATAAATTATCGTCGGCGGCCGGCACTCTCGCACACACGCACACCTGAGCAGCCTCGTCGATGACTACGAGGTCGAACTCTTCCTCTCGCAGGCTGTGAGTCGCCGCGCCGACGCACGTGGCCAGCACCACGTCTCTCGATCGCAGCACCTCCTGCACCACCTTGCCCTCCCGCGCGCGCGCTTCCTTCCGGAGAGTTTTCAACTTTTTTTTTTTTTGGGGGGGGGGTCGTTCTCTTTTTGTGCAGTTTCGTAGCTTTTGGATATGGTATTCGACTACAGTATATCCAATGATTTTCTGTAGACTGTAGCAAGACTGTCGCAACATTTTTCATGTTCGTGTGCCTGGCGTGGTGGTCAATCCATGAGCGAGTACACACACACAAACATGGACGTATTCAGGTCCGGATGGACGAACAGCGTTGCCGTGTCGTCGACGTGATCTACAATAGCTGGTAGTGCTCCAGATGATGTCGCGCAAATCTGGTCCGAAAAAACAAGGTTTCCAAACGTGCACAGCTGAAGCACCACGTGCCTGCTTGCAGGGCCCTGAGCTAATCCATGCCCTGGGGGGGGTGGGCGACTTTTTCAATACGAGGTAACATCACGTGAGACAAAAACACAAGCGGCAGCAGCAGCAACACCACACGCTCACGCATACAGCCGCAGACGCCTCTACTTGACATAGCATACGAGACCAACAACAGCAGTAGCACGCACAGTACCAACTACTTGTCCCGTACCTCCATTCGAGCACCCTTCCTATCGGCCCCACGAATCCGGGAGCGTGACTTGCTAACCCCCCCCGCTCCGCCGCTGCCGCCGCCACCCCCCGTGCCCGACTCGCCGTGCAGCCGGCCGAGCAGCGTGTCTATGTCCTTGCGGACATCCTTGACGATGGCCGTCCCTTCGTGCCGCGACACCAACGCCTCCATCGAGTGCTCCAACACCTTTTCTTGGCAACGGTAACAACAGCAGAAGTGGTCCGATCGGCCAGTCGATGAAGACGGGGGGGGGGGGGGGTGTATCGCTGTCCTTACCAAGAAACCAAGCTACCCTCAAATGAAAACCATCGGAGCGAAAAACGTATCCGAGTGGCTGTGCGTGGGCCTGTGCGTATCTGTTATTGTGGGGCGCGCCTCCCCCTCCATTACTTCCCACCACATGCATGCATACCTGCGGCAGAAGCCTCGCCGGGTGTCCCATTCGCACAACACGCGGACGGCCGCCTATGTTCTTTCCGCCGTACCCCCCACCGCCGCCGCCGCCGCCACCGCCGCCGCCCGCGCTCCCCCCTCCGCCCTCCTCCCCTGCCGCGACCAGCTTCTCCAACATGCCGTCTACTGCGACGTTCGACGGCGCGCAAACGAGGCACCTCCAGCCGCGCGCCACCGCTTCTTGGACGAGAGCCACCACAGTCGTCGTCTTGCCGGTGCCTTTGAGGGGGCGGGAGGGGGGGGGGGCATCGGCGGCAATGTGGTGGCTGTGGCGGTGATATCCCGTCCAAAGAAGAGGCTACTACTGCTGTAGCGGTAAAACACTCGGAGGAAAAACACAGAAGCTGCCGTGTACACAAAATGGGGAGGGGGTTGACGATTGAGAAGGCGTTTATGTATCTTGGTCGGTCCGTCGAGACGGGGCATCGCCAGCCGCTTAGCACCGCCGACGCGAAGCAAACGGTCAAGCGCAGAACCTACCCGGCACGCGAAATAGCGCCTCCCCCCCTCCCTCCGCAACTGAATTATCCCCGAAAAAAAAGTGAAAAGCGCACACCCACCAACGCTTGCTTCCCCACACAAAACTAAGGGCCGGGAGGGAAAAACGGGCACCGGCGGCCAGCATCGCACCCACCTGGGGGGCCGTGTATGAGCGCCACGTCGCGGGTCGCCAGCGCAAATGCCACAGCCTCTCGCTGGGAGTCGTTCAGCGACCTAAGGGCCAGTGATGAAAGCGTCGCCGCCGGGGGCCCCGTCGGGGCAACAGCAGCAGCCGACGGCGGTTCCGAGCCGAAGAGCACGTTGATAACGCGCTCGGCGGGCCCTCCGCCGGGGTATTTCTCCAGAGCGTCTAGGCCCTGTGGAGGGGGGAGGGGGGGGGCAGGAAAGACCGTGTGCGGGCACGCGGAGTTGACAACGGAGGGAGGGGGGTGAGCTCACGTACACGCATGCTGTAGTCAGTAGACCTCGCATCCTTACAATGCCGGGACGGAGCAATATGCCGGGTTTTCACCGGCCCAGGTTTACCAACGGAGGGAGGGGGGCGGAAGAGGGTAAGGGCGTACGATAAGATGGTCGGCGTGACTGCCGCCGACGCCGCCGCCGCACTTGCCACCGCGCCCGCTTTCGCCATCCTGCCCGGCAACGATTCTTCTAGCGAGCGACAGACGATATGCCGCGTGAGTTCGTTGCAAAACATCACCGCTAACGCCGAGGTGAACCCGGCACGCCCATTGGAAACTTCGCATTGATTACCACAGCAGTGCAAACGGCCTTCCTCCTGTCTGCGTAACCCCGGCTGGTTCGATAACCATTTGCCGAAAGGCCAGAGTGGCACCCAGCATATACGGGACGAAAACACACGCAAACGTACGCTCCCCGCCGGTACGGTAACCGGTTGGTGATATTACGAGAAGCTTCATACCCTAACGCCAGCCGAAACAAGGGGGGTACGCCGCCCGTCCCCCCCCCCCCCCCTCAAAGCCCCGTGTACCAGGCCCCATGCGAAGCCAGAACTGACTCACCAGCATGAGCTTCTTGTGCGTGGCCTCGCTGGCTACGACATCCAGCCTTAGCGGGGCCCGTAGAGAGCCGGCATCGTCCGCGTCCTCGCTGATCACTTCTACCGTCCCCTCGGTCACCTTCCCCACCACGCCTGACAGATGGGAGCGTGGGCGTTTTGGTTCGACAGGTGTCATCATCGTAGAGTATATAGCAGCGAAAAAGGAGCGTTCAATACGACAAACGTAGAAGTACGTATCACACATGGAGCGCTTTTGTTTTGAGGCGTGTGGTGTATGTTTGAAACGACTTGTTTCAACACCAGACGAACAAATGTTGCGGTTTCGCGCTACAATATAGATAGACTACTTTTGTAGTTCTCCACGAACAACGAAGCACGTCAGAACGCCCAACTATCATATACGTGTGTATGTACACACTCCCCCGCTCACCGGTTTACACCTACTACACGTACAGCAAACGACAGCAAGAAGAAGCGTCGCTCGAATCGTACGAAACTACACACGGTTTTTGTATGGACCGACCTACACTTTGTTTTCTTGCACCCGAGTCGCTCCCACATGCGCGGTACCACAGGCTTGAGAAACGCTCCAGGTCTAAGATAAGAGGTGACTGAACATGAACAGGCCATACGCAATGTGGAACAACTAAATGATGGCGACGACAAGCAGGAAAGAGCGGTTTCCTCACCCGATATCTCAGATATCCCTCCCTCGACGTCACCCTTGCCCCCCTTGGAGCTGTACAGGCGGACCTGGTCGCCGGCGCCCAGCCTGTGGGCAGGCAGCGGCCGGCCCTTGGGATCCCCGACGGAGACGCACGCCCTTCCGTACAAACCCGTCGACAGCCCCGTCACCGCGAGAGGAACGAGGCTGACACCGCGCTCCATGCATTCCTACGTGGTGGTGTGTGTTTGAAGCGTTTGTGGCAATCACGACCGGTCGACGACGACGGTGGTTCAGTACATTCACGTGTTTGGCCGGGAGAAAACACTGGAGGTGCTCATGACGATGTGCGGTTAGGCGCTCCGCCCGTATAGATAAGTGCCTCAGAGCAGCTGTACAAGGCAATCGCGGCAGAAGCACTCGTGGTATCTACATAGACAGCTGGTGCGGGGAACAGGGGAGCATGATCGATTCAACCCCCCCTCTTAAAGTACTTCAGTACCATGTGTTGTATGCATAGTTGCAGTAGGAGGCGTTGTCGGACAGCAGTGAAGCAGGAGAGAAAATGCCAGCAACACAGCAGCGCCAGCGGTGGTACGGCTTGCCACGAGGGTCGCTCGATATACGAGCAACTCGAGGGACAATGTGCGGAGTACAGCGGTACCGATATGCGATTCGACAGAAACACCGCAAGCCTACAATTGTGTTCAACACACGCTGGCTTGCTGCGAGGTACTTCGTACAAAATACTAGGCAACGCCTCTTTTACCCACACATGTACAACATCATCTCCTCAACCGCTTGTGTGTCACAGGTTAGTGTGCCTGCCGTGGGTGTTCCCCTGCTATGCACACGGACAAAGGGGGGCCTGCTGTTCGCCGCCATGCCACTGCTGTCGTACTTTCTTGGAGCCCAGTATTGCTGTAGACAACAAAAGCGGGGACTGGCTATATTGGAAGCGAAGGCGTCAAAGGATGAAGACAGACCAAATAACGCAGAGTTCTTGCACAGAAGTCAGGTTCTGTGTGTTTCGCGAAAGCCATGCCCAACACCCGGCTGACGACAGCAACAACAGCTGCAGAACGAGTGCCTTTTCGCGGCCAAACCCCGTTGCACACAGCGAGCCGAAGCCGCTTACTCTGCTAAAAGGGGGCGGGGCAGCAGCAGCCGTCGAGAAGGAGGTCCCACCTGTGCCGTAAGTTGGTTGATCATTCCGGCGACTTGCTCGACTTCCTCGTCTCGTTCAAGCCTCAGCAGCTTCCGCTGCACCCGGGCCCATTCGTTTATGGACACGGGGCCTGTGTCCCGGGCCGTGCTGTCCGTGTCATTGTTACTCATGATATCCGCGTCTCAGAGGAGGGTGCCTCTCTGGCGCCTGGAGGGGAAGCGAGTTGTGGCGCCGCCGCCGCCGCCGCCGCCTTCTTTATGGAGACATGCCGCGCGAACTCTGGAAACCTACATTTCCAGCTCTCTCGGAACTCGAACTCTGACTGAACTCTGCACGCACACGAATCTCGAATCACTCCTCCTGCACAAATATCATCTTAGTCGGAACAGCCTCCGAAGGCCTTCTTGGCTTGGTGCTCTCGGCACCAGCCTTGTCGGCCTCATGGCACCTTTCGGTAGGGTGCTCAAGGCCGCAGCCGGTGTGATGGTGCTGGCGACGGCCACCGTCATGGTGCTCGAGAGCCTGGAGCTGTCTCACGGCGGGTCGGGAAGAGGAAAGAGCGGTGGCGGCCGTGATGGCGCTCCCCTGCAACGCCGGGAAGACATCATGATCAACCCGGTCACTCTGCTGCCGAACGAATGGAGGGTGAAGACGGAGGACGGAGGTGAGTAATTGTTCCTCGTGAGTGTACAATCAGGTCTCGCTACCGCTGTGATCCAAGCGGCTGGCTGCAGTCGGAACGAAGGGAGAAAAAAAAACTGGTGAATTCTATTCTTGCGCAAGAACGCAAGGCCCGAGAAAAGTCTTGTGATGTTCGCATGTGTGCATGCAGCATTCAAGCGGCTGCATGCAGTCCGTCTACAGCAGTAGTACCAACGTAATGCAGTGCAGACTCTTCTGCTACAACTGCTCTGGTGCAGGGCATCGCCATGCCGTCTCATGCCGAACATATCCATTCTCGTCTCGTTGTGTCAACCACCAAGACTGCTGTAAGCCCCTGCGTTGGGTATTCCCACTCTCTGACATTCCAACAGGCAGTATGTACCGCTGGCGTGTGTTGCAATGTCCACGATGACGGGTGACTACAGCAGTACTACACGTGCTCATATACGACCATAGACTCGGACAGACCCGCCGCCTCAGGTTTTATCTCGCCCTTTTTTGTGGTCTGCTGTAATACCAGTACTTGTATGCAAAGGACATCCAAAGGTTGTACTGCTGTCGACTATGTAGTTTAGAGCAGCCTCACATTTTTCATGATGCAGTTGTAGTCATCACTGAAGCAGAGTCTGCAATAGTAGTCCATGTGGTAGCGCAGGGTTCATCGACGCCTGCCGCATACTGGAAGCTGGGGGCGTGCCGAGTATAGAACGGGCCCGCAGATGAGAAATTTTCATGAAAAAAAAAAAAAAAATGGTCGAATGCTGTAGAAACAAGCGCAGCGAGCGGTGGATCCTCTACATACACTCGACAGGGCGACCAAATAAGAAACTGAGCCTCGACGTTTCTTACCTCCAGGCCCGTCAAGCCGTCAAGGGGCTCTGACAGTATTAATAGTCGCACGTGACGCCGTCTACAATTGTATGATGTGTGTGTGCATTTGGCCGCCTTTGGTCCGAAGCAGTCTCGTGTGCTGCTGCTGTGCCACGTCTTTCGGGGGATTCCCCCTCGGCGGCGTGACTGTCAGCCAAGCAGCTGTCTCTGTCCTACATAATCGAGAGGTGATTGGTGGGAGGACGGGTATCTACCCGAAACCTCTTCCCCTCTAAAACATAGCACTCAAGCAGATGATCATTTTTTTAGTTCTTCCGGTCAACATAAAAATTGCCCAACGTATGTATTGGGTCCTCTTCCAATTTTTCGGGCTTACCATCAGCTTCGATGGGATGTGGTTTCGTTTTCTTAGATGGTTGTCATGGGATAGGATGGTAAAGGGATCGTGGTATCGTGGTTTACGGTGGGTTATTCGCCACCATGTGCATATTCATTGACACATGGCGTACACATACCGTATATGACACAAGATAACACACCCCCTGGACCGATTTTCAAAGCTCGATTACTCCACAACGAAGAGGATGCATAAATGAAACAATACGTTTTCAAATAGCTCTCGACGAGACGGTTCCAACGCCGCCGTTTTCGGCGCTGTGACTCTTCCTGCTGTTGAGAAATCGAGCTTTGAAAATCGGCCAAGGGGGTGTGTTATCTTGTGTCATATACGGTACGTGTGTACATTGGCGTGAGCAGTCGAGATGATGATACACACAACAATGGTATAGTCCGTGCACAACAATGAATCCATAAATCGCCACAGCACAAATGACAACTTTTCTCTGCACACAGGTGGTTGTTCCGAAATCTGAAAGTACCCACAAACGCCCTGTTTCCAGGCGCATGGCGTGACGGAGAGTTTTTTTGTTTTTTTTTTTCCTTGACTTTTTATCCCCGAAACACCTTTAAAACTTGATTCGTTTACACAGGGTGGTGTTTGTTGCCGATGCCAAAAAACTCAACGGATTTGGACACATGTCGGAATTCTGCGGTTGGGGATTTTTTTTTTTTTGTAATTCTCGAAATTACAGGAGATATCAGAGAATAACTGAATGTAGAGGATCAACTTGATTCGTTTACAGCGCGACAACCACCGGACCGATTTCAAAATAAACAGTGGCAAACGATCCCTATCGTCGATCTACAGTTGGGGGTTTTGGGGTTTTGCTGGGAAAAATCTAGTTTTCGAGATATTCAACATGTTGTGCCGCACCATGGGTGGGTGTGCTTTGGTGGGCGACACAACACGCACAAACAACTCTCGCACACGTTGCAGGTTGAAGAACACAAAATACCCACGCAAGCACCATGGGGAATCCTAGGGGGCGGCCTAAGAAGAAGAAGATCGGCTATCGCGGAGCCGATGGCCGGGCGGCTCCTAAGAAGCCGAAGCCGGCGCAGCAACATGAGCTTCCACCCGGTGCTGGTGATGCGCTCTCCGAAAGTTTTTGCATATATTAATTATATATGGAGTGATAGAGTGAAGTGTTGTGCATGCGAATAGACTGTGCATGTGTTTTCGTCCTGCATTGCGTGTATATTATTACAGTGCGCGATCAGTTGTGAATAAGAAGGGTATGGACGCGGGAAAATTCACAGAGGGGGCACCGTGGCATAAAATGGGGGTGCCTTGGCGCAAAAATGGGGGCCAACGTGGTGATAGAGGGGGTTCCGCAGTGATAAATGGGGGGCACCGTGGTAATATATGGGGGCTCCGCGGAGGAAAACAGGGGGTACTAAGCTGATTTAGGGGGTTCCGTGGATCATTTTGGTCAAAAATGTTGCATTTTCCCAAAATGAAAAAAACTCTGCAGCTATCGACGTAGCTCGACGAGGCGGTCACGAATATCGTTGTTTCGCGTTTCAATTTTTTTTTCTTTAAAAAGATGTCGCACAAAACGTGAATGGACAAATTGTTGTGCATGGACCGTAGAATATGCATAGGTGGAACGAGGGTTCGAGGGCGGGCCAATTTCCAACAATAATATTTCACATTCTGCTGTTGATTGCCGAGTGTCCTACCGGTTCACAACGCGATTTTTTCAATTTTCGCGTGTGAGATTCGAATAATAAACGGTACATGTTCGTTGGCACCCGGGCATGTGGGCGTCTCTCTCTCGCAACCGCTCATGTTCGACAAGAGCAACTTGGCTATGGCATGTATGTGGCATAATCCTTTTCCCCGAAGTTTCAGCGAAACGACGTTCATAAAACCTGCTGGACACACCCGCCCGGGTAAATACTACGTTCCCGTTTTTCGTGCGGTGGCATCTCAATTACCGCGAGAGCCGGAGAGATGGCGCCGGGTATCGTTTAAAACAAAAGAAAATGTCGTGTTTTTTGTCGCACCCCGATGTAATCTCTCCGACCGGTGCGATCTCTCCGCCCCCGGTGCCGAAATGCAAAATGCATTATCTCACTTAGCTTTTTCAGGGCACCCCGGTGCGATCTCTCCGACCGGTGCGATGCCCAATGAAATAAATACACAGCAGTGGCCTCACTAGTGCTACGGCAGCGTTGTTTGCACGCACCCCATAACCCGCCCGGTGCCATCTCTCCGGCTCTTACGGTACCCAAAACAATGGGGAAAAGCGAAAGCAGCAGCAGTCCGGCAGGAATAAGCAGTGGCGAAAAGCTGTTGGTTACCCTTACCTCACCGGGATTCCCAATCCTACGCTGGGACAAGCAGGAGGAGGTTATCTAGCCTGGCGTTCGCGAGAATTGCAGGAACGAACTGTCAATGTTTATCAACCCGCGCACCCGTGCATCAAAACCGCGTTCTCAATACTGCACTGCTGTCTGCTGTAGCGCCCGTCGAAAGAAGAGCGATGCTCGCGATACGTGGTCTTTACGGGGGTATCACAGTTCCCGCCCCCCCCCCCCCCCCCCCCCTGCTTTCGCCCCGCGGGGGGCCCCCTCTGGCGG